AGAAATAGTGTGATCGTTTGCGGTTGCAAACTCCGAAAGAATCTTTATTAAAAACACCTCTGATTTTGTAGCGGTGAAACCTGATGGCACTTAAATGACCAAAATTGTGTCGATAGTGCCGTAAAACATCTACCCAATCAATCTATCAACCGGCTGAGAGTCAAGTGGGCTCTGTGAAGTAAGGTAGGAGTTGAGTTGACATCTTGTAATCCAGATAAGTTGCTGGTTTCGCACAGCTCCTCAATCTTTCGGCCTGTGCCGTTATAGTTGATGTAGCCCCATTCTGGAGAGTGGCCGTTGAAGTCACTCGCACAAATGGTTTTTTCGTAGCTGGCTGCTTGCAGATCAGACAAGTTGCATGTTGTCTGTGGGGGGCTGTAAACATTGTAAAGTGTGTACTTCCTACCAATGTGCCATATGGTGGCCTTCTGGATATCTGTCGGTTGGGCAGATGATAAGTGTACGACATCTCCCTGAACATCGTTTCGCAGGTAAGTGACTACACCGCGGCATCCTGTGCATGTGCAGGCGTAACTGGTGTTTCCTGTGAGGTTCAGGTCCGTACCTTTGTGTAGAGTTTCTTGAAGGAGGGCAACATGAATCTGCCTGTCCTTCAGTACTTTGAAGAGGTTCTGTTTTCTTGTTCCTCAAACCACAGATGTTGAGTTGCAAGAGGTTGAAAGAACTCTTCTTCTGGTTGGGGATGTAGTTTGCTCCCTTCTCACGCCGAGAGCTTTTCGGTGCTGGTTTAGCACTGTTTCTGTGTGTATCACCAGTAGCTGACTTGTCGCTCAGTGCAGCCTGGTGATTGCACTGCCTGGCGCGGACCTTGTTTAACGAGGCGACGTCCGTGCTCGCATGTAATTTATTTCTTTGTGTCATGGCATTGTGGACTGGGGTGTCTGTGGACTGTCTGCCCACCCTGGGAAGAGGCCATTCGTGTTGAGGATAGGAGTGTACTAGGAGTTTTCATGAGACTGGAAAGACCTAACTGCCCTGTGACAGTGTAATTCCGGTAGGGTTCACGTTGCCCATTCCCCGCCACCAATGGCTACTGGCTAAGGTTTTCGACTCTTTCTTGAGGTATTGACCAAGTGGGAAAGCCATTGGATCGTCACGTCCTGGGTCGTTGTGCCTTTACTAAGAGGTTTCACGGCCAGAAAGCAAGTCAGGCATTCTGCTCGGTCCATCCCCTGCACCCAGACACTCTCAAACTGGCTGGTACCTTCTCAACCACAGAGGGTGTGTTGATAAAAGTAGTAGAGGCGTTAGGCAGATTAGACACACATTCAAGGGAGAGTAGGGGCGTGTTAGTGAGGAGCATAGCGTCTACCACGCATCGGTGGGTTCTGCCTCCTGCTCCTTGTGGGGCCACACCTGCTCCCATCCTGTTGTTTTATCCCCTCTAGGAAACGGGGGGGGGGGGGGGGGGTTGGTTTGTTGGCGCCAACAACTCGGAGAGAGAGAGAGAGAGAGAGAGAGAGAGAGAGAGAGAGACAGAGAGAGAGAGGAAAGAGAGAGACAGAGAGAGAGAGGGAGGAAAGAGAGAGACAGAGAGAGAGAGAGAGAGAGAGAGACAGAGACTATCCTTTCAAAGTGTCCTTGTAGATCTAATCAATTTCTATTCTAGGTCCAGGCGGGACATTAATACAGGATGTAAAAACGTAGATCTGGAGACTCAAGGACACATAAGAAATAATCTTGGTACAACAATGTAAGTCAATTTAACGGGGCAAATCTTTCCAATTTTAAAATTGTTTTGGTCACATCTAAACACCATTTTTACTACAATTGGACCTAAGCCAACTTGGAAATTATAATGCCATGGTGTACATACTTAACCTGATTTATGTGTAGTTAAATGTTGTTATGTATCATAGTTTCATTGTGAACATGAACTTGTTTTCACCGTTTCAGGAAGGAAAGTACAGATTTTACAGATACAACTTCTATTGAGGACCAACAATCTGGATGCCAGGAAACAGGTGAAGACATAAACGTCTATAAATTCCTCCCACTATAAAATCAAGTATTTGAATAAAAATGAATAGGAGCAGTAGCTTTATATCGGCCCCCTGATGAACTTGTGAATTCCACTCAAAGCAAATTTTGCCGCAGAGGGAAAAACTGATTTTCCCAATCTTTTGATGTTCCAGAAATAAACTGAATGGATCATGTAGTCCAGTATTTTTAGAAATGATATGAAAATATTTTATTTTTTACTGTTAATGCTCATGGTTTAAAAAAGTGTGTAGTTTGCAATTTAAAATTTTGAGTCTCTCTTTGTGCCATGTGTTGTTGGTTTTTTTTTGGGGGGGGGGGGAGGGGGGGGGTAGTGTTTTACGGCGCTCACACCTGCATAAGGTCATATGGGCGTGCGGGATACATTAAATAAAATATTTTCGACTCCCAAGGGATCTTTAGCACACGCAACTTGCACAGGGGACCTCCGAGATTTTTTGCCCTTATCCGAGAAGGCTGGGTATCCGATCTTACCTACCCTAAGATCATGAGTGTGGCTGAAAGAAAGCAGTAAGAATGAGCTAAGGGGTAGCAGTAGAAAGGCTGCAGACAGAGTCAGGAGCTCAGACGAGCGGACGAAAGAGGTGCGGGGGTGGGGACAGAAAGTGGAGACGAAAACAGACATTAGAACATTGTTAGAGTAGGCAGTTTCGTGACAGTTTCAAAGTTGTCTGATATGCTTTGAAATACTTTTATTTGTAAGCCTCTGCCTTCGTGATCATAACACAGTTTAACCCTATCTGCAGGCCCTGGGGTCATTTTGTACCCCCGGGATTGTATTCTTCACATTTCAGAATACTTCTTGTACAAAGATCTCTTTGAAACTTTCAGTATTTAAAAAAAATCATTTTGGACAGACTGCTATGCAAAAAGTACGTATCGGAATAACGAGTAAATTTCCTCTTTGGAAAGTGGCGGCATAGGGTTCCCCTCGTCACATGGATACGATAGTAAAACACGATGTACGGATAGGGTTACAATGTGTTTATATCTGTATTAGTTAAAAAGTTATGGCGATTTTTTCATACCTAAAATCCGGCCAATTTCTGGCCATTTTTAACAGTGAGTTTTTGTGACACCAAAATGCAACTTTACTAAACAACTAACTACATATTACTGAACAAAAAATACATATTTAAAAAAATGGTATACACAATTTTTTGGGGAATTTTACACAGAATGCGCACAACAATAAACCACCTCCTTACAAAATCACGGTTATATTTTTTGGGTACTTACAGAGGTTCAGGGTGATAAAAAATCACTCGCAAGGGTAACCCGAAAATGACAAATGGGCAATGACTTTGCTGCTAATGATCATATTTAAAAATCACACATCATTCTCTTTGTTTTTCTTCACTGCTCATAATCATTAAAGAGTTTAGCCAACTAAGTAGTCATTTCCAAATTTTACAGTCATTCTTAAGATTTTAAAATTGTTTTTAGCGCTTTTCTAATCGTAAAACGGATTCCGTTAAAAACAACAACCTGTTAATGACAATAAGACAGCATCCTTCTTTTTCAGAGTATAGTAACATACGTTTGTGTGAAGCTATATTTTATGCTTCCAAGTGCAAAAAAGGGCTTATAAAGTCAAGAAAAACGTTCTTCAGAGACCTATTTTGTTGTTGTTGTACAGTAGGCCCACTGAAACATGATTTAATAAACTGCGGAAAGATGACCAGAAAATAACAAAATCATCTTATGATCTTCCACTTGCAATTTTTTTGACAAATTATAGTCTTCCTCATTCTTTTATTTTTTTCACAGCTTTCTCTTCACTAGTCATGACAATGGTATTGTTCTGAGTTTTTATTAACTAGCAATTTTCATTGATGAGCACAATTTAAAAAAAAATTGAGTCAGAGACTCGTCGTCTAAAAATTCTTCTGCTATTCTTTGGCCACAAAGAAAATGGCACAATTTGCTAATGTAAAAAGTAAAAATATCCTGAAAATAATATTATACATTTATCAGGTACCGTACTGAAAGTGAAAGACTGAGCAGTGGCTAATAAACTCTGTTTTCTCTACTACTAACTAGATGTAGTAGTTTGCGCAAAACTGATTTGAGAATAAAGTTGTCAAATAAACTAAAAAGTGATTGTTATAAGAAGATTTATTATTATTAACAGTGGAAAATATAGCTAGTTATGAAAATCGTATAAAAAGACAATATTACTTTTTAAGCTGGTCGCTTCCTTTGATTCTTACACTGAATGAACCGGAAGGCTTAGCTATAAACATAAAAGTTTTTATATTAGTGGGAATGGCATGTGATTTATGAAGTTATTCTTTCATTTGTTCCCTATCTCTTTCTTTTCTCTCTCTCTCTCTCTCTCTCTCTCTCTCTCTCTCTCTCTCTCTCTCTCTCTCTCTATATATGTGTGTGTGTGCGTGCGTGCGTGTGTGCGCGCGCAAAAGAAAACATATTTTTGGAGAACTAAAAGTACTATGTTTAGTTTAACACCTTATCAACACTTTTAAGTTATTTGTTGAGAGGTGGTCCACCGCATTTAACATCTGTCTCCCATAGAACCGAGCCAAATGGGGTTAGAGCCTTAAAAATTCCACAAAATTCCCAGAGTTTAAGAATGCCTAATTTGGGAATTGAACCAGGGTCGTCCGTTCTATATTCCAGCATGATACCAGCTGCGCTAAAGGAGCCCCTTTGAGAACTTTATTTGCATCAAACTTATATTATTTTACTGTAATATCATCGCTATCTCCCTCTTTCTGTTCCCCTTTTTCTCTTCTTTTCGTTATCTTTCTCTCTCTCTCTCTCTCTCTCTCTCTCTCTCTCTCTCACTCTCTCTCTCTCTCTCTCTC